GGCAAAACAAAACAGGCACTCCAGCATGCAGGCGGAAACGGCTCATTTTCACCCGAGTGTGCACTGATTAAGTTGTTATGACGAGTCCTTGAGAGGCTTAAGTTTTCCCGGCTGCTGTGTTCCTTCCCTCGGCCATATGTCATTACTTAATAACTGTAGCAGTGTGTGAGAGAGAGATGGAGTTAGAAAGGAGGTGACAGAAATGCTTGCTGATGGTGAGCCAGTGATTACCGCTCTTGGCCACTCTGCATAGATTATAGCTGTTGACGCTGAAGCTGAGCCAAGGTGTAGTGGGAAAACTTTGTGGTTTGGTGACATATCACGAGCACCTGCATTTATCTCTGTGTCAAAAAATTGCCGGATGCAGCTAGATCAGAGGGAAATCAGTTGCCAGTAGAGTACATTCTTTGTCACTCAGAGGATAAAAAGAAACTGTCACTTTCATTCCTGTGAGCCTGGAGTCTTTGGTTGAATAAACTGTCACGAGTTTGTTACTGTGACCTTGAGTTTATGCACAGAAACAATGTCATAGACAGACAGTGAGCCATCTATCTATGGCAGCAAAGACAGACACTCCTGTAGCTTAAACTTGGCTAAGAAAATACTTCTAGGTCTGTCTAAAAAAAGTTACAGATGCTAGCCTTGCAACACGTATTACAAACAACCCATAATGCAACATTCTCTGTTGGAGACAGTGTCACAATTAAAAAAGAGCGTCTGATGTTATGAACACGTATCTAGTCCTAGAATGTAAGACAACCCACACTTTTCTAAACATAATTTCCATAAAATATATTGTCCTGTATTTGGGCCAACATGGTACATCATTTAAGCATAACATGTTGTTTATATGTGAATCATTGGATTTTTGCTTTTTTCAAAGTGTCAAGTGTAAATTTCCCTTGTTTACAAATCTGAAATTCTCAGTGCTTAAATATGCTAATATGAAATATTGCTTTTTTATTGTGAGTTCCCATTCCTTCTTCCCCATCTATCTCCACATTTTACAATCTTACCTCATTAACAGCTCCTAATTGGCCATTGGGGCTAAGCTGAAAACAATGAAGCATTGATTTCCTTAAACATAATCACCTTGTCCAGTCATTTAATGGCTGCTGTCACTGTGGGCCGCCAAGAGAAAAATGACCAGTCAGTGGTCCCATCGATGCCCTTCACCTCCACTCACCAAAGGCTAGAGTGCACAGCCACCCACTCCATCTTAGCAGGTTGGTTTAACCCCTTTAGCCGCCTGACAGGCTCCAAGCACTACATCCATCCATTGTTGTAATCCCATAATGCACACACAGTAACTGTTGTGCACTTGATTGTTTTAGTAGAAGATATAAACAATGGAATACCACAAAATATCATAAGCATAAATAAACAGACAAACTGATATGAGCACAAACACACACTCTCAGACGCAGATAATGGATGGTCATTTACCCCACCAACTACCTGAATGGGATTGTGTCCAGTCCAAGTGGCCATTTGTCGTCTAAGTGGCTCTCATGACTGGCCCAGTAGAGTCATCGTGAAACCATTTACACTGCTCTCTCCTCCACATACCAGATGGTTCATAGTGATCATGCCTAATGTCCACCTGGCTGATGGCTGGACCTTGCCCCTTGGCTGATACACACAGGCATGTGCTGTGTGTGTGTGTGTGTGTGCGTGTGTGCGTGTGTGTGTGTGCGTGTGTGCGTGTGTGTGTGTGTGTGTGTGTGTGTGTGTAGGTGTGTGTGTGTGTGTGTGTGTGTGTGTGTGTGTGTGTGTGTGTGTTAGTGATAATCATGAATTCTGATGGCAATAATTATAATCTTCATCATAATGATCATAATAATCAAAATAATAGGTTCTGTCCTAATAACTTCTAAGTCTAAAAATAAAACATATACAACAAACACAACAATATTCCATTAAAGAATAAAGAATTAGCATTTTTACAAGTTTAAGCCCCACAAACCATGTAGCCTTTACATTACTGATGATCATTGAGCAAATCGTACCAATTTGTACAGTAATCCATTGAATGCAACTCCTGTCCAATGTTAAATTCACATCATGTGACTTTTCAGTAATGTCTTCTAAAGGGTTAGACTTCTTCCTGTATAATATAATACAAACGCTACTGGAATTAGATCACGGAATATCAGCTGAACATACTATGGACTGACAAATCATAGTTTAGACCTATTCAGTGTAACCACTGGGTAGACCGCAAAGTCCACAAAGAGAAATGGGTTCCCAAAATATTTGGAGCCCAATTGCACCTTTGTATTTAAAAAACAATCTTGGGTCACTAATGCTTTCCTGGACTGGAAAACAAATTCCAAATCGAAGGGTATTTGGGGGGGGGACATGGTTACAATAGTATTCCCCCATGTTATGCAACAACGACATAGACTAAATGGATGGTTATCATTTAATTCTTCTTCTTTTGGGGCCAAAATTATTTCAAATGTAAATAATACATTTGGCATCTGAATTATATTGTTTTAATCTATGATAAAATGGCTTTTATTGAAGGAAAGAAGAAAAAATCAATTATGATTCTAAACTTTTAAATGGAACTACAGCTAACCCATGAGTGGATTAGTTCTCCCAGCAGAATGCAGCTCACATTCTTGGAGAGCTCGTTCAAAGAACAGAGCCTTGTGTGCCAAATCTAACTGTATAAGCAATCGCAATAAATGGTGAATTTATGGACTTGAGTGTCTCTGACTAAAATGAGGAAACATACAATCTTGAAAATGTTATGCTCAAAATTGCTTCTAGGACCCACTGAAGAAATGAATCCAGAAGTCTTGATAGGGGTTGCCTTTTGTTGTCCCTTGTCAGATGTTTGTTGGGTACAACTCTGTGGTGCTAACCTGCAAATCCGGCTCTGAATCTAGCCGTGGGGATTCAACCCAATTCAGTATTCTGTGATGCAACGTAAAGTCCTCACTTATTCAGAGATCTGCTTTGACTTGAAAGCAAGTCTGCAGGTCAGGAAGCTGTCAGTAAAATATTCAACAAGCCAACACATTGTGGGGTTTGGGGTTTTAGCACACTCAAGGGATTTTCGCCTCACTTTTATAGTCTGTGTTCTGCCTCTTCCCGCCCAGAAATATCTAACAACAAGCGCTTAGAGAGTGACATTAATACTGCACGACAGCACGGTCCAGCAGGACTGCAAATGTTTGCCTTTTAATCCAGGACTCTGCAGCCTTTGGTCTGGCCACGGCCGACATTGATGGGAATGGGAGAAGAAAACTGTTGCCAAACTTGTCGAGGCTGCTGGGAGCTCAGCTCCGTAATTCTTGACCCGAGCCATTTCAAACATTTGCACAGCCAACCAAGCTAGAGAAACACACACCGGTTGTTGTCATGCCAGTGGAAGCAAATGCATCTTCTTGCCGCAGCAGGGTGTTCTCTTTAAAACTTGGTAGGGCCAAGTGAAATAAGACACAAACAAGATGGAATGTGGCATTTGCTTGTCTCCCTTTCTTTTTGCACTCTATCCATTCTGTGGATTGGAAAGGATAAGTTCTACCCTTCTCCTTTCCTCTTCTCTTCTCTCCTCTCCTCTCCTCTCTCCTCTCCTCTCCGGGGATGAGCTCTAGTTTAATTGTTGGACGCTAGTGTCTGTTGCGGTGGCTGTCAAGGGAAGATAAAGAGTTTTTCCTGGGGCATATGGAAAGGGGAGAGCGGTGATGGAGGGCCTCTCTCCTGCAGCTCCGCTGGCTGCATTAGCCCCACGCTTTATAATTGTGTGAAGGGGGCACTTCCAGTGGCTCCCTCATTACTCACTGGCATGGCCAGTCCCTGGCAGCCAGACACACCTTGTCCTCTAGCTCTCTCTCTCTGCCTGTCTCACTCATTTCAGGATGTCCCTCAGCTCCATCACCCCCCTCTCCCTCCCCTGGGCATTCCTTCCTATTGTTATTTTGACCCAGTATCGCCATCGGCGCATATCGCCTTCTCTTTTCACAGAATTTTTTTGACATCCTCCTTTGTCAGACTGGGACCTATTGTACAGCATTTGCTCTGACTGATGTCACCTATGCTTTGGAGTTAATGCTTTAGTATAGTATAGCCCAAGACTGTGTTGGCTTAGTCAAGGGACTCAAGGGTCTCAGCAATCTCAGTCTATGACTGAAGCCTGTGACTGCCAGGTGCTCACTACAGAAGCGTAGACAAAAGATCTGTCTCATTTTAATCATATTGACAACATATGGAAGATATCAAGGATGCAAAAGGGGGCACATTAATACATAGTGAGTGCATGATGTGATCTTCATCACGGGCTGATTTGTATGGAGTGAGAACAGCCAGCACTGAGTGAGAGGCAATTAGATGACATAATTGAGATGCCTTGAGGGCCAATTTGTTCCACATACTTACAGTGGAAGTGCCCAATGATTGTACTGCAGCGTGCCTCACATGATATGATCTGAGGTAGTTGAGTTTCCCTATGCCTGTCTTTCATTCACATATTTTTTCTTGATTGGATTTATGAAAACGCATGTATAGCCAGTTTAAGGTCCAGTGTGTACGATTTAGTGACATCTAGCAGTGTAATTTTAGATTGCAATTCACTCGCTTCACCCTCCACTTCCAAGCGTGAAGAAGAAATAGCTGTGAAACATGCAAAGAATGCTAACAGCCCTATCTAGTGCCAGTGTTTGGTTTGTCCATTCTGGCCAACTGTAGAAAAATGGCGGCCCAACCTGCGGCCTCCATGGAAGAGAACCTGCTCTCTCTGTAGATAAAAAGGGCTCATTCTAAGGTAACGAAAACACAACAATTCTTTTTTTCAGGTGATCATACACTAATAAACACATACCTATGGTTATTATATTCGATTTCTGCCAATAGATTCTCCTAAATGTTACACACTGGACCTATAATGAAAAGTCACAGTACCTTTGCTTCAGTTAATTTTCAGTAACATGTTTTCTATTAATCTCTCCCATTTAGTGACCATTCACCTCTGTATTTGTGTCTGTCTGCAGAGGGAGGTACGTGTGAGGTGATTGCCGCCCACCGATGCTGTAACAAGAATCGCATTGAGGAGCGTTCTCAGACAGTCAAGTGCTCCTGTTTACCGGGGAAAGTGGCCGGGACGACACGCAACAAACCATCTTGTGTGGATGGTGAGTAGATCTTATGTGTTTTAACACTGTGCTGCTGCTGACCATTTCGTACTGAGGGCTTTTTTCTCTTTGATACATGTTACTCGGCCCATTATCCCTAAGAATTATTTACATAATACATCCAACATGCTTGAAGTTTAGTGACTCAGTGACTTGTCCTGCCTAACTGCAGCTTTCTACACAAAATGTGATGTATAGGGGAGGGTTTAAATGTGGAGCTAATTTTAAGATAAGACAAGATATACTTTAATAAATTATCCCAGAGGGTATATTTGGCATGAGCAGTAGTGCTACACACAGCTGCAATCAACTTAAATAGATAGATAGAATACCTAACAGTGCAATACACAATAATAAGATACATATAAAAAAATAGGAAAGATATGTAAAATATTGCACATGCATTGTGAGATAAAACATACATATAAATAGATATTATAAAATCTATGAAAAAACAGCTAAAAATTAAGAATGAAATCATAAAAAACATAAATCCATTATTCAGAACTAATTGCAACAGTGCCTCATTACTCATGAGACACAACATAAGTAAGCCTTGAGCTGGTTGTTTGTTGAGTAATGTTACAGAGAGAAAAGAAGTTACTTTATATACTGCTAGGAAGCTTAATCATCATAAATTAGAAGTTGATTAGTTTGCTATAATAATCTACACCCGCAAAGTCACTAGTGTAGTGGAGTATATGATACATTATTTGCCTCAAAAATGTAGAAAGTAACATAAAATAAAAATACTCAAGTAAAGTCCAAGGATCATAAAATTATACTCAGTACAGTACTTGAGTAAATGTACATTTCACCACTGATCCAAAATGAGATCATTGTCAGGTTTGAATAATTTTTTTCAAAAATAATGATTCTTCATATGCTTTAATAAACACCTCAGACAAAGACCTACTTCATTTTCCAATATACCTTTCTCTGCTGTCTCTCTCTGATATTTCTAAATATAAAAATACACTGAACCATTAAGAACCTAGTGCTGTGCTGCTGGGCATCATGGGAGATAGAGGATGATCCAGTTGGGCTGTTGAACACCTGAGTAGGGAGCACGTTGCAGATCACATCGCCTAAGGCAGCTCAGGCTGATGGAAATGAATAACTAATAAACACAAGTCAGGGAAGCTCCAGGCTAGTGCACCTGAATTACCTCAGCTGAGAAAAACAATCAGGCAGAGGCAGCTCCATGGGGAAAAAAAGCTGACAGGAAGTCACAAGTCTACTGAGAAGGAACTGCGACACCCCTTTCACTCCACGGAGCTCATTTATTGCTCCTCAGTCCCGATCTTTTCACCCCCACCTTCAACAGAGATCAAAGTCATCTCTCTGACTGCCCTCTTGCAAAGAAATGACACCAAAATATCTTCATTATGAGGGATGTTACATGAAGGGCCAGACAGGTTCGCTCAGTGGGTTTCACAGGGTTGGTTAGCCACAGCTGACACTCAAGAAGATCCTAGAACATGAATTACATATGAGCAAAGGACAATACAAAAGAACTTTCTCTCCGTTTGATCAATCATTACCCAAAACCCTATAAAACTTTTTTGGTGAACAGTGGAATTTTTGGTCCTTGAGATATTTTTCTCAAGAAATAGATGTTTGCACTGGGATTGGAGGCATCGTCTGAATGAAACATTTACAGAGCTCTGAGAGTGTGTTGTCCTTGTACAGAGAGACACACGACCAGACATTGTCTCCTCCGCAGCACCCAACAGACAAGGGACTCTGGACTCCTTTTATATTCACTCAGATTGTGTCTCACTAGACATGGCCTTGACAGACCTAAAATCCCAGAAAAACCTTAACTTCAGACTGAGACATTTTCTTGCCCACAACCCTAAAGATGAAAACCATGTTATAATAAAAGGGGATATAAGGACATCCAAAGAAGTAGCCAATAGAAGTTTGACAAAGATATACAATTCAAAAACTAAATTAGATGGACCAAGGAATGGAGGTGGAGAAGAAGCAGATGTTGTTAACACTTCATGCTTCTGTGCTTTCGGGCTCTCGCAGCGAAAGAGTCCTTGCTGTTAGTGTATTGATTAACAGGCACTCATAGAGGGAGTGGTGATAAAAATGGAAATGACAAGTCACTGAGCAGGAAGCTACTGTATTGAGCACCATTGCACCACACTGAAAGAGTTAAGGCGACCTCACCTCTAATCATTTGGTTTGCTTTATTTGGGGCCTTAGCCTTCTCTCTTGGATAATTTTCACCTGCTTGGCTGTTTGTTATTTATTTAACACTGAAACCACCATGGGATAAGGGCTGAAGGGCAGACGAAATAATTATGTGATTATTCATAAGAGCTCATTTGTAGTCGGAAGTGTCATGCATTGCAAACACAGCATTTAACTAAAGGATCTTTTTTTTGTAAGTATGGAACTAAATGGACACACAATGGAGGAGAGGGGGGGACTCCATTCAAGGGTTTTGATTATCTAGAAAAGCTTTACCTGAAAGTTGCATGTGTTTGTCAACTGGGCCCCGCAGGCTGCCGTTGCGCTATGTGAGGGATTATAGACTTGTGGAGTCAGTGGTCTGTCCCCTCAGCAGCGCACCGGCCTGGCCCAGATGGAGCTTTCTCCCCAGGTCCCAGCGTTATTAATGTTCCGTCCAGATGAGGAACGATGCCGCAGCCCAGCTCATCTCACCACCCCCTGGGGGACACCTGCCGCCACTGTACCATACACAGGTTATGTTCCCACAAAAATATATAAAAAATTATATATATAAAGAATAGCCAGTGCTCTGATAGAACAAATCAAAAGTATATCTTCAGAGGTCGTTTGGTTTGGACACACATACAGTGCCTGGAGGAATGAAAACTCCTTTATCTTTGGCCAAATTTTGCAGAAACTGGCAGTCTCCCTGATGTGCTGTATTATCGGCCATTAGCATCAAACTCCAACATCAAAGCACACAGTGAAGATCACTCCCATTGTCGAGTGTTTACTACCTTAAGAATATGGGCCACACAGGGTTATTCTAGCTGCTATTGGTAACTGTTTGGGTTGTTTTTAATATATGGGGATGTGACGACAGCTTGTGTTGGGAGGCGTCATGTTCAGTGGGGGTCTGCTGTCAGATTATCCCCGTAGTGGGAATTGATTATTAGCTTTGACAAGGAGAACTATGTCCCAGTTATGTCAGGGCCAACGAGGCTCTTACTGAAGAACATCCCTTTTAACAAGTCAAACGCTCATATCTCTCCAGCCTCGCCGGGCCGATCACATGCACTCAGATTAGGCGCTCATCACTGCACCACTGCCTTTATCCCAGTGTATGAGACATGTAAGCCCTCAGCCACAGTATGGACATACACACACACATACACATGCATACATATGCACTCATACTCAACACATGCATGCAGATGCCCTAATATGCACACATGCTACCACTTTGTGTTGTCATGTAGCTGCTGTAGCAGTAAACTCTTTCAACAAGAGATGCACGCAGATGCCCGCTTGCTGCTGATCACTGATGGGGAATGAACCCTTCTGTTTGGCTGCAGGCGGGTATAGCTGAGCATGACAGGTTGTCATGGTACATTTGAGATACATCCAGGGGGGAGACACATGGACACTACTTGAGGGGAGGGACAAGAAGTGCTGCAGTTCTGCCTCATATTTTACTGGTCAAACTGATGCAAGCAGAATATCATAAGCATGCTAGAGTGAGATGCAGTTTGATACCGTCTTTAAAACATCGTCTCATACCAAGGAGGGTCACCATTGTTATCAGCGGAATATAGTTTATCAAACAATGCGCTTATTGGCAAACCTTGTCTTTAAATGGGTTTTGTGCATACAAATATCACAAGAGTTTGTAAAACAAAAAGAGTTTATTCATTTCTGTCCCAGCTTGCATGGATCTAAAAGTCCAAACTGATGACACTCAAGAACAGCCAAGCAAACATCCCATCCTCCTATTATAAAACCTCTGCCCCCCACAGTTCAGCTCTCTCATTGTTCTATAGCCCTCTGCTGCTGTATGTGGTTGCCAAGACGCAAACCTGCTGCAGATACCGCCTGAGGGGATGGACAGAAGGAGCACATTATACTGTACCAAAGAAAACAATAACTCCTTTCTCTTACTGACAAACACACAGGCAAACGTAAGGAGAGACTAACAAACAGTGAAATTCTCCTGGATCAAAAAAGATGTTTGTGTCTTTGGAGAAGTTGAGGATAATGATTGTGAGGCAGGTTTTCTCCTCCATCTTTTGTCACATCCCACTGAGCTCTCACAGCACTGACGGTGTAATTAGACTCTCAACCTTTAACCTGCCAGGAGAGGATCTGACCCTCAGTTGGAGTTGAAAGGCCTCCTTAGTTTTGTTTTTCCTCTATTTTTTTAAGCAACATCCTATTCCTTTTCTGCTCTCACAACTGGAGTAACAAGTCTGTCAAGAGAGGAGTAACCGTAAGGCAGATCTGTGTCAGCTGTGTGGGAGATACATTTTGGTAAATCGGTTTTGTACCCACATGAAGGAAAGGAAATAACCACACAACAAAAGGAGTCATTGTTCATCCATTAATAGGCACATACATACACACCTACACTCCCTCCAACTCCACAAGCACAGAGTTACACTCATTGATACTCAAAGTGCACACACAGACACACTTGAAAAGGAATCATTTAGATACGGTATAGTATGGTTTTTTAATGTAATAATATTAATAGCAAATACCACTATACCACATATATATATTTTTTTAGTCGTAATTTTGATATAGAATTACTTTACAGGCTGCATTTTGCATTATCCTATATAAATGTTGCTGTTTGTACGTGTAACTGTGTATTCCAGTTTTACCTGAATGAATCCAAGGTCATGCAAAGTAGGAAACCCTCTCTCTGGCGTTTCTAAGAATTAATTAGAATTCAAAAACAATCAAATGAAAACACAGGAATTCTTCTTCAAGTCTGCAGGGTGCAAATTCAGAAATTCCGAAAAGCTGTGTGA